AAGGAATAAGAACAAAATACTTATGGTCACTACCATCTCTCTCAATTCCAACTTGGAAACAAGCAGGGAGGCTATCATTCTCCCCTTTCACAGCTACTTCTATTCTTAAAACCCATAAATTTCTGTATAAGGCCATGTGACATATTCTTTGTAATGGCTCCTGTTCCTATTGAACCTTAGCAACAGGCACTGCAGCTTGGAGCTCTTTTGTTTCCTCCCTGTCTGAATCAGGAACTACGGGTGGTGAGCTCTGTAACAGACTCAGAACTGAAAGAACTAGGTTCCAAACTGAGAATGTCTTAGGGGAAATGATTTTTCCTGCACTATGTGCCTTTTTAAGATTTTTCCAACTCATTCCCAATTATCAATATCTATGGTGCCTGTCTGAGGAAACCATGGGTTATATTTGGTTACCTCTTTTAACATTTTTGCTAGGTTTGTCTTTGGCACATAAATCCCTGAGTGTTTAAAGAGACCTTGGAACAGCCATAAATACCTTTGCTCTTCAACTGAAAATTTTTGCCCCATTTTTGTTGTTGTTGTTTCTAGTAATGAAACTCAGGACCTTAGGCTTCCCAGGCAGGGCATTTATGCCACTGAGCTATATCACTACCCTATTTTTACTCCCAGATAAAATGGCTTGTTCATAGCAGAAAGACTCACCCTTGTTCTTCGTTTTCTTCTCCCAGCATTCCTGGGCAGGTTTTTCATCCCGTGAAGATCTCCTCCATATTCAGACTTTTTCACTCTAGGCAGACTTACTTGTTCAGGCTAAAATTCTTAGCCTAAGGATTTTAGGTCCTTATTCCAGGTACCAGGTATTGGACAACTGGCCTAGATCCGCAATGTCCCAAATGAGTCTGTGGTGAAGGCTTAAATGAATGAGATATCATTCTAGGGCCCCAGGAGAATCACAATGTTCTACAGAGTTCAGGGACTCTGGTGGCTAAGACAGAGAGTGCCTCTGGGCAACCTATATTTATTATCTTTTTCAAACAACACAGGAAACTGGACAGACCTTGGGAATGGCTCAAGAACTTTGCAAGTAACAAATTATGTTAACAAGGAGAAGTATTTTAGGAGAAAATCTCCATGTTGCCTTTCACTACAGGGGTGAGAGGCCTACAGCTACAGTCTTTATTTACATAATTGGAGTTGGAGCCAGGTGTCCTGAGCTGTGTTCATATCTTGCCCCAGCCATACAGCCACCCTGCATGAGTTTTGCTATTTCAAGTTTCACTGATTCCCAACATATAAATTTCAATTTTGTGACTTGCATCTTTCTTTCTCTTTCCTGTGATGAGATGGTTCCTCAGTTCTGGAAGATTAATGGGATAACTGCAGAGATTGTAACCATGAAGATAGAAGCTAGACTCTCAATTTGCTGTTGCAATCTTGAATCTGGCTCTTTCTCATCATGACCCTTGTCAGGGAAGGTCAGAGGTTGAATACTGGCGTACTGGAGCAATATGAGAGTTCTCAGACATCCTTCACTTTACCTTATAGATAATATTTTCTGTTATCCATATCTTTTGAGAAGCCCCCTTGAGTCACTGAATCTCATTTCCTACCTCCATAAACCTGAGTTAGTATCAGGACCTTACTAAACTTTGTTCCTTAAAGTTAATGAAGATAAAAAGAAATGTATTACCTTTTGATCTTTGAATTCTCATTTTTCTGGGGCCTTATTGTCTCCAAATTTACTATATCTACCCTTTGTGGACATTGAAATTTGATGCCATTTCTTTTCTTAATTTCATTTCAAAATAACTTTTAAAAATAATACAACAGCATGAAATAACAGTTCAACAGTTTCAAGATGACGCAAAGAGTAATAATATAAGACTAATCATAATCAATGAAGATGCAAGGGTCAATTCAACTGACATAGGAAAAACTATTCACAGAAGTAATAGCAGAAAAATTTCCAAACATGGGGAAAGAATATGATATATAGATAAGTAAGAATACAGGATGCCAAGTAGTCATATCCAAAATAAAAGTATTCCAAAACATATAAAATAATTAAGATCAAAGATATACAGCATAAAAACAGAATATGAAAGCTGTTACAGAAAAAAACACAACTCACCTATCAAGGAACGTCCATTAGAATCATGGCTGACTTTTCAATGCTCTTCAAACTCTTCAATGAAATTGAAAGGGAAGTCATTTTCCCAAACTCATTCATGGAGGCAAGTAAATCTCACTAATGGACATTGATGCAATGATTCTCAATAAAATATTGACAAATAGACCACAACAAATCATCTAGAAGATTATACATCATGACCAAGTGGAATTTATCCCAGAAATGCAAGTGTTGTTTAACATATGAAAATCAATAAATGTAGGACATCACATCAACAGTCAAAGAAAAAAATTACAGGATCATCTCAATAGATGCAGAAAAAGGTTTTGATAAAGTCCAACACTTCATGACAAAAGCCCTACAGAAACTTGGAATAGAATCTACCTCAATTTGATAAAGGCTGTCTATGACAAACCAACAGCCAACATTATACTACATGGACAAAAACTGAAAGTTTCATTCTAAGACCAGGAACAAGACAAGGATGTTCACTATCACCACTCCTATTCAGTATAGTTCTGAAAACATTAGCCAGGGGAATCAGACAAGAGAGATAAATAAAAAGAATAAGGATAAGAAAGGAAGAAGTTAAAGTAATAGGATACTACTTTCAAGTGACATGATACTCCATATAGAGGATCCCAAAAAAGACTATTAGAGTCCCATCAAAGACTATTAGAGTTAATAAATGAAGTCAGCAATGTAGCTGGATGCAAAGTTAACATCCAAAAATTAATAGCATTCTTGTACATAAACAACAAAATCATTGAGAGATAAATTATGGAAATAGTACTTTTCACAATAACATCTAAAAATACTTTGGAATTAACCTAACCAAGAATGTAAAAGACCCATGTGCTGAAAATTATACTTACTCTAAAAAAGGAGATTGAGGAGGATATTAGAAAATGGAAAGAAAGCCCTTGCAGTTGGTTAGAAAGAACCAACATCATGAAAATGGCCATGCTTCCAAAAATTTTATACAGACTTAATGCAATCCCAATCAAAATACAATTAACATACATTGCATATCTAGAGAAAAGATCCTTAAAACTCATTTGGAAACAGAAGAAACCTAGAATAACAAAGGTAATTCTCTGAAACAAAGGAAAGGCAGGAGGCATCTCAATCTTTGACCTGAAATTATACTACAAAGGTACAGTGATAAAATCAGTATGCTACTGACAAAGAAATAGACCTTAGAATTAATGGAACAGATTAGAAGTTGCAAACACAACTGCATAGACATTCAGACACCTTATATTTGACAAAGGGTCTAAATATTTTCACTGGAAGCATAGCCTCTTTAATAAATGCTGCTGGAAAAATTGGCTTTCCACATGCTGAAGACTGAAATTAGACCCATGTCTATCACCATGCACTAAACTAAAATCAAAATGGATCTATGATATAAATATTAAAGCAGGAACACTAAATCCACTGTAAGACCATGTAGGTAGAAATCTTCAAGACATGGGGTAGTCACAGAGTTCATGAACAAAACATAAGCTGCACAGGATGTACTTTAATGAATCAATAAATGGGATCACATCTTATTAGAAGGTTTTTGCATTTCAAAAGAAATCACCAACAAAGTGAAAAGAAAACCCACATACTGGGAAAGAATTTTAGCCAGCAGTCCCTCAGACAAAAGACATATCTAGAACATACTAAGGATTGAAAAATATCAAGCCCCAGATTCAAAGACTTACTCCAAAAGTGAGCATCTGAGATGAATATTCATTTCTCAGATGAAGATATACAAATGGAAAATAAATACATGAAGAAATGTTCACCGTCACTGGTCATTAAAGAAATGCAAATTATAACAGCACTGAGATTCCATCTCACTCCAGAAATAATGGCTGCCATCAAGAAGTCAACTGATAACAAATTTTGGTGGGGCCGTGGGGAAAAAGGATCATTTTTCCACCATTGGTGGAAGTGTAGACTGGTATAGTCACTGTGGAAATCAATATGGACATGTAACACATGTAACTGTATGTAGGTTTAAGTGTTCAAGATAGATAATCATACTACTAGGTCTCTGTTAGTTAATCAAAAAGAATACTTGTTTGATTGTTCATTTTTTATACTTCAATTTTGTAACTTAAACAACTACTTCTAAGTTAACAAAATGTAATATATTAACTAGTGATGATTTCTTAATGCTATTTTCTTGAAATTCTGTATCACTTCTACCTTTTTTCTGCTTTGCCTTTTTAAAATAAAAAAAGAAAAAACCAAGAACCAACTTTATGATGTCTTGAAGAACTATGCTGTAAATGTAAAAAAACTAACAAAGATTAAAGATGTGTATATAGAAAAATGTACATTTTACAAATAAACATATGAAAGGTGAACTAAAGGAAAAAAAAGAAAACTGAGAAAAATAATAATATCAGTATGTGGGGCACAGAAGTTGCCTAGAAAAGGAAATGGTTTTATTTGTTGGAAATGATTTTCTAGGAAACTCTACTATTATTTGGTTTGCTCTACTTGGGTTTCAAAGGATGATTAAGAATCCTTTGTAAGTCCTACAGGAACTACAGACTCAGGAAACCACATGGGTAAATACCTATAAATGTGGCTTATTTTGATGTATTTCATGTATTATGGGAGGAAACAGGCATTGAGACTAGTGGAATTAGAGGAATTTTAATGCCAGTGGCTGTGTTGAGTTCTGAGAAGAATAAATAATCTTTGGCCTTGTGATAATGCTGATTGAGTTGTTTTTAAAATTGGTCTCCCTACATCATATGAACTCAATGGAGGACAAAGGCACATGTGAATGATTCTTTGCCAAGTGCCATGCTGGAGCTGGAAAGAGCACTTCCAGAGCCAAGTGATGCACAGATGGCCTTTCACTGGCTCTGGTCCTGGCCCCACCTCCTTTTCCAACACATAACTATGCCAGGCTGTTTGCACTAAATCACAGCTGAGTAGTGAAGTGGACCTCTCTTGGCAGAGTCTTACTTGCAAAACTCAAGAAGAGAGCATTGCAGTAGGAAACTGACAATGGACCTGATTCCAAACTTCTCCTTGGAAACCTGGTTTTTCCTGGCTCTCAGTCTGGTACTCTTTTATCTGTGAGTAACTGTCCAAACTCCCCTCTTTTTAAGTTTGCATTTTGTATTGACTATTCTTTGTCCCTTCTCTGTATGAAAAAAAATCAAAATATAATGGAGGGGAATCCCTGAAGAAGTTAATATTTATGTTAGTCCTATTTCTTCAGCATCTCGTTCGAAGCCTTTATTCCTGTGGATCCAAGTGTTGTTTATGTGAACTGTTTTTGTGAATGAATTTACTGAGTCTCACATTGAAATTAGTGAGCCAGAATTTAGCAGACTCAGATTATAAACAATGATCCACTGTATGCAGTGGAAACTTAAATCCCTTTCAATATCTACGAATCCTGGGGCAGAAGAGGATGAGTTGCGTTTTTGTGCCATTACTTTTGTCTTGTGGTGTGTTTGTTTCACAGAAGATATGCAAAATTATTGTCCCATATGAACTTGGGTTGTTCCTATTCCTTACCTCACACCCTACCTAGTATCACTTACACAATATGTAGAATGCAACCCAGAGTCCAATTCATGGAATGTAACCTCGGACCCCTCTTTACTGTTTTCTGAGATGATTTCTCTATACTCCTAAAACTCAATTCCTCCTTTAGGTAAAGTGAAGTACTACTTATTTCTCAATGACAAATTTTAGGGTTGAGGAGAAATGGAAGAAATCCTGAAATTACATTCTTTTTAACACTCCCTCTTTTCCTTCCAGTCATTGAGAGTTTTAACATTGTATAGAGGTTTATTTCTCCCTACGGTGAAATATTCTAGGAGCTTGAAAAAGCAAGAACATACAAAACTATTTTGTATTTTAAGTAGGTTTTTTTTTTAATTTTATTGAAAAGGAAAAAGAGAAAAACATAAAACAGAACAAAGCGGTGTAAGGATACATGTAATGCAGAACTACAAAAAAAAGTAAGAAATCACCAGTTAATAGATTGCATATTAGATTTTAAGTAGGTTTTTTACCTGTAATTTCTAGATAGGAAGATACATCAAAACCTCTCTATGCAGGAATTCCTCTCAATGAAAGATTACCTGGCATCTTGGGACAGCTGGAGAGAGAAGTTATTTCTAATTGTGGATAAGACTACAGCCCCATATTGTATTTGAGGACAATCTAATTTCAGTTTTATAAAGAGTATCAAATCATGATTGTGTGCAAACAGAAAATACAGGGCTGATTTAAAAAGTACCTGATTGGGAAACAGAGATATGACTTAATAAAAAGGAAAAAAACATAGAAAAGCATTGTTACCTTAAGCCAGTGATGTGAATCTTTTAGAGATGAGTCCTCAGCCTGCAATCCCAGATCCTCTTATTTATTACAAAGTACCAGCACTATAATTAAAACTGAATACTGAGTTCATTTTAAAAGAAAAACTAATAACCCATGTGCCATTGATTTACCACTATTGCCATAGGCTATCCCTCATTCTGACTGATTAAATGAATGGAGTTATGGAAAATCATATCTTTGGAAGAGAAGGAAAAGTCATATTCCTCCCTTCTACCTTAATTGAAAATTTCCACACCAAGAAAGTGTCAATTTCCAATATTGACATAATAAAATGAAGTGCCATGGGAGAAGCCTGGCTTGAATCACTCATGAGCACTCAAGTTGGGAGATTTTATCAAGTATTCACTCTATGACTGGGAGCATGAAGACTTCGGCTACTTTTAACTAACTATTGTGGACTGTTAGATATCTTTCAACAAAGAAATGGCAGGGGACAAGTGAATGCAATTAGTGTTTTTGGAGTTTTGTTGTCCTTTATTGATTACATGCTCTTCCCTCTCTAGTTTGATGGTTCCAGTTCCTGAGTCAGGGGCTGGCCAGAACCCATAATGTATAAAGTCATAAACTCTGTAACTTGACTGCTTTCTTTGTTACTTTACAGATATGGGACCTCTACACATGGATTCTTTAAGAAACTGGGAATTCCCGGGCCAAAACCTCTGCCCTTTTTTGGAACTATTTTGGCATATCGGAAGGTGAATGTTGTTGGAGAATCTTTTTCTTCTTTGCTTCTTCTGGTTGCAAAGATCAGCTTAATTTCTTTAATAGAAGTGCTCCTCCTTGGGAAGTTCTTTGGGGCTTTCAGAAACTGTGTGTACCCCCCAAAAGAAGATCATAGTTTTCTTGGGCTTTGTTGTTCAGTCTTTGTAGTCTTATTTGCACAACCCAGATCTCTGGGACATTGGTACTTAATCCTCAGTACAAAATGTTCATTTCAGATTTTGTCAGCATGAAAGGAAAAGTTTTGGTTTGCCACGTACAGATCCAGGAAAGTACAGTCACACTTAGTATTAGAAGAAAAGAATTCTAAACAATTTTTGTTCTTCTGAAAAAGTGTTAATTTTCTGTGAAACTTTCACCTATAAAATTTTTAGATTTATATTTCTGGAAAGTATTTTTTTAATTTTAAATAGGAAATACTAAACATAACAAAACAGAAAAATCAGGTCAGAAGAAAACAATGTAAGTGACACAGATTTCAAAAAAAGACAACAAGAGATCTACAGTGGCTACCATAATGTCTCTTGTTTTCTTCTAAGTAGTTGTCCATAGATTTTCACATAATGAATTCACACAAAACAAAATAGTAAAAACTGATCAGAATAGAGTGAAGAAGGCATTGTAGGCCTTCAAAACCAGACAATAAGAAAATCAACAATGGCTAACATAATATCTCTAATTCTCTTCAAAATAGCTGTCAATACCTTCATGCATGTTGAAATTAAACAATACAAAACAGATTAAAGCTATTCTAAACAAGAATAAAAGTACTACTGGTTTTTGCAGCATGATGATAGGAAATCAGAAATGGATACCACAATGTCTCTTTTACTTCAAAGTAGCTGTTCATTTCATCATGCATTATTTAATTGATTCTCATAAACTGTTTAGGATATGTTGTACAGATGTCTAAGCCTCTACCTGTATACATACCCTTTATGTATTAGAGGGAAAAAGAAAACAAAACAGATTACTAGAAAAACAGAAAACAAAAAGACAAATAACAATAGCAAAGAGCCCACATCAATGACAATATAGGCCTTGAAAACAAGGCAGAAGAAGCATAATTAGGGTTGTATTTTTACATAACGATCTCTAAGAGTTTCTCAGATTACCAGACACTAATATGCAAAATTGTCCCTGTCCTATGAATGTTAACTTTTTGTTCCAAGACCTTATAGAATTTGTAGAACAATCATTTTAGCTATCCTAAGCATGTTTCTACAATTTCATATATTTTTCTTTTCCTTTCCTTTTCCTTTTTCTTCTTTTCCCTGAGATATTATTTTTCCCTTTGAGCAGATTCTTATCCCTTCACTGTATTTTTTGAGGATTTTGTATCTTATGTACCATCACCATTTCTTACACTAAGGAGACTATATGGTATTTACACAGGTGAGTTTGATTTATTTCTCTTATGAGTATGGCCTCAAATTGCATCCATTTATTTATTTATGGATATCTCAATGTGATCATTCTTTACAGCTGAGTAGTACAGCTGAGTGTATAAAAATAAAACATCTTTTTTTTAATCCAAACCTCAGTTGCTGGGCATTTAGGTTCTTTCCAAAATCTGACTCTTACAAATTGTGCTGCTGTAAACATGGGTACACATATATCACTGTGGTATGAGTTCTTCTGTGAATATGCCCAGAAGTGGAATAATTGGGCCAAATGGAACTTCCAGGCCCAGCTTTTTGAGGAACTGACTTCCACAGTGGTTGCATCAGTCTGCACTCCCACCAACAGTGCAGAAGAGTTTCTTTTCCCCCACAGCCTCTTCATCATTTGTTGTTGGTAGTTTTCTTGATCCTGGCCATTCTTTCTTGAGCAAGATGGAATCCCAGTATTGTTTTAATTTGCATTTCTCTAATGACCAATGATGTTGAACATTTCTTCATGTATTTATTTTCCATTTGTATTTCTTCATCTGAGAACTGTGTATTCATCTCAGATGCCCATATTTGGATTGGATCTTTGTATTTCAGGGGTCTGATGTTTTTTAATTCTTTATATGTTCTAGACAAAGTCTTTTATATGTTCTAGACAGAAGTCTGAGGGATAGTTGACTAAGATTTTTTCCCAATTTGTGGGTTTTCTTTTCACTATGCTGGAGAATTCTTTTGATATGCAAAAACTTTTTAATAAGATGTAATCCCATTTATTGATTCATGGAAGTATTTCCTGTGTGGTTTGATTTCTGTTCATGAATTCTCTACCTTCCTCCATGTCTTCAAGGTATCTACCTACTGTGTCTTACAGAATATTTAGTGTTTTTGTTTTAATATTTAGATCTTTGATCCATTTTGACTTTAGCTTAGTACATGGTGATAGGCATGGGTCTAGTTGTAGTTTTTGGCATATGGAGAGCCAATTTATCCAGCACCATTTATTAAAGGGACTATCTTTCTTTCAGTGAATGTGTTTGGCCTCTTTATCAAAGATAGGTGACTAAGTGTGTTGGTAGTTGTAGTTATAGTTGTATCTTCTAATCTGTTCCATTGATCTTCAGGTTTGTTTTTATTCCAGTACCATGCTGGGTTTATACAGTAGCTTTGTATTATGACTTCGTGTCAGGGATTGTGATGCCTCCTGCCTTGCCTCTGTTGCTCAGAATTGTCTTTACTATTCTAGGTCTCTTCTGGTTACAGATGAATTTTAAGAATGATTTGCTCAATCTTTTGTGAGATATGATCATGACATTTTGATTGGGCTTGCATGAAATCTGTATAACAATTTTGGGAGAATGGCCATTTTCACAATATTTGTTCTTCCTATCTGTGAACAAGGAATGTTTGTTTTGTGAGGACTTTTTGATTTCTTTGCAGGATATTATAATTTTCCCTGAATAGATCTTTTACTTCTTTTGTTAAATTCATTACTAAGTATTTCATTCTTTGGATACTATTGTGAAATGTGTGGCTCCTTTTATTTCTCTCTCAGTGATTTTGTTGTTTGTGTATAGGAATGCTAATGATTTTTGAATGTTGGCTTTGTATTCAGATACATTGCTGAGTGTATTTATTATACTAACGAGTCTTTCAATGGAGTTTTGTGGGCCTTCTATGAAGAGTATCATGTCATCTGCAAATAATGATAATTTAACTTCTTCTTTTCCTATCCTTACTCTTTTTATTTCTTTCTCTTGTCTAATTGCTCTGGCTAGTATTTCCCACACTATATTGAATAGGAGTGGCAATAATGGACATTCTTGTCTTGTTCCTGATATTAGGGAAAGGCTTTCAGATTTTGGCCATTTAATATGATTCTGGCTATTAGTTTGTCATAGATGGCTTTTATTATATTGAGGTAAAGACCATCTATTCCAATTTTCTGTAAAGCTTTTATCATGAATAAGTGTTAGACCTTATAAAAAGCTTTTTTTGCATCTATAGCAATTATCATGTGGTTCTTATTTTTAGCAATATTGATATGGTTGATTCCATTTATTGATTTGCATATGATGAACCTTCCCTGAATTCCTGGGATGAATCCCACTTGTTCATGGTGTATAATCTTCTTGATTGGTGATAATCTTCTTGCTGCATTCTGTTTGTCAATATATTATTGAGAATATTTACATCTATATTCGTTAAGGAGATTGGCCTGTAGTTCTGTTTTTTTGTTGGGGTTTTCTCTGGATTTTGTATTAGATTAATATTGCTTCCAGGAATGAGTTAGGGAGAATTACTTCCCTTTCAGTTTCATTGAAGAGTGTTAGCATTAAATCTTTTTAAATTTCTTGTAGAAGTTCACAGTGAATCCGTCTAGACTTGGAATTTTCTTTGTTGGTAAGGTTTTAATTATATTTTCAATTTCATTAATTGAAATTAAGTTATTCAGAAATTTTAAATCCTCTTGATCTAGCTTTGGTAATTCATATGTTTCTAGGAATGTGTCCATTTCTTTTGTGTAATCAAGCCTATGAGAGTGAGGTTTTTTGAAATGAGTATTGATGATCTTTTGTATTTCTATAGGGTCTGCAGTAATTTTACCCTTTTCATTCCTTATTGAGTATATTTGAGTTTTTCTTTCATTTTAAAAATAAGTTTGGTTAGGGGCTCATTGATTTTATTTATTGTTTCAAAGAACCAACTCTTTGATTAACTGATTCTTTGTATTGTTTTATTAGTCTCTATTGTTTTGATTTCTTCTCTGATCTTTATAATTTCCTCCCTTCATGTGACTTTGGGCTTGACTTGCTCTTGTTTTTCTAAATGTTTGAGGTGTAGCATCAGGTTGTTTATTTGTGTTCATTCTCTTTTCCTGATGTGAGAATTCACTGCAACAAATTTTCCTCTGAGGACTACTTTCATTGCATCCCACAGATTCCAGTAAGTTTTATTTGTATTTTCATTTGCTTGTAGATATTATTTAATTTATTCTTTAATTTCCTCTGTGACCCCCTGATTGCTCGAGTGTATTATTGAATTTCTATGTGTTTGTGGGTTTTTACAGTTTCTTTTGTGATTAATTTCTAGTTTCATGGAACTGATATGATCTGATAACATGCATGGGATAATTACAATTGTTTTACATTTACTAAAGTATGTTCTGTGGAGCAATATATGGTCTATTTTAGAGAATGTCCCATGTTCTGCTGAAAAGAATGTATATTGTGATGTTGTTGAGGGGAACACTCTGTGTATGTCCACCAAGTCCATTTGTTCACAGATGTGATTCAATTCTGTTATTTCTTTGCTGATTTTCTATCTTGTTGATCTGTCCCTTTGTGTCAATGGCATGTTAAGATCTCCTGTTATAATTGTGTTATTATTTATTTGATTTCATTTCTTTAATATTTGTTTTGTATAGCTCGGTCATCCCAAATTTGGTGCACAGATATTTAGGATTTTTATCTCTTCTTTTTGAAGTTTTCCCCTAACTAGTAGGTAGTGACCTTCTTTATCTCTATTGATCATTTTTTTGTTTGGAGTTAACATTATCTGCAAACACTATAGCTACCCTTGATTTT